CCATTATTCTTTGCTTTTGCTATATAACTGGCCCACTTCCTTTGTTGATATCATTCAATGATATCTTCTCCCTTATGCTCCACCTTTAAATCATCAATGGACACATGCTGTAATGTGTGTGCTGACCCTGTATCTTTCCACTGCCCTTTGGGTGACGCCTCCAAATCTGATTCCTTAGAGACAGCAGTACCATTGTTCTCAGCTACAGAGCATCATCAGGAGAACATTTGTGTTGAAAAATATGGGGTTTTGTATCATCTTAAGCCACCGGGGAGAATTAAGAGACTTCGAATGCACTTAATGCCAAATGCAAACCACCATCGGCATTATCCCTTCTATTCAATTCTAGGCCTGACTTGTTGTCCATCTGTAGCCTCTATCCCAAAGATACAGGAATTGATGTACTAACTCAATGGATTGGCCATCTAACTCCATGTCCTAGTCTGATCAACAAGAATTTTTCATCCAGTTAGCTTTTCCTGACAGGTAGTAAGCTGAGCTCTCAGGGGAGCAGCAGGGCACAGTGGAAAAGTGCTGGCTCTGGAGTGGGAATACCTGGATTCAAACGCCACATCACCTATACAACCTTTAGCAAACCACTTAACCTCCCTGGGACTCAGTTTCCTCATATGTAAAATGAAGGCTGTGAACAAAATGATCTCCGACCTCCCTCTCAGTTCCAGAGCTGTGATCCTTCCTAGCAATGTCTGTGGATAATTATGGGATTCACTAAATAGCCCTATAATGTTTTGGGGGCTTGATGAAATCAGAATAATATCACTGGCAAATAGGAGCATCTCCAGCACCTTCTTGTGGACCTTCCACAAGACACCCTTTCTAAAAGAGCGAAAGCTATGAAAGATATTAACCAGGAAATATGTTCCACATAGATGTCCATCAGTGTCAGGGATCTGCATAAAATTCAAATAAAATAATTCCCAACTGATAGAGATGTTAATCCAACTGCTATTTTCAGATTACACTATTTTAATTAATTCAAGCCTGATCAGCGCTTAGAAGTCCACAGCAATGCTAAGGAGGTCAATTTAATCAACACCAAAAAAACAAATTGTCCAAGCCGTGACATGTAGCTTGACAGGCAACCCATAGAATGAATCCTTCAATGTATGTATCTTAGATAGGTGTTACAGATGGACAGTGAGCTGGATCCAGAATCAGGGAGGAGGAGGTAGGAGGAGACAGGATTCGACGGTATCTGGGAAACTGTGCAGTGCTTTCAATGATCCCAAACTACTTGCTGGTGCAAAAAGCCCTTCTCTGTGGCACCAATGGTACTTCTTCCCAGTGGCTTTCAATGGTATCATAGGGATACAAAGGATGCATAAAGAGTAGACAAAAGTAGATGTAACCTTAGAAGGGAAAGCATTTGGCAGAACGAAGCATTTGAGTGGAGTCTTGAAAAAGGCTACCGACTGAGTCAGGAGAGCATTCTAAGCATGAGAGACAGATCACAACCCATCCATGCCTCCTCTTCCTGTGTGATTCTTGCTCACGCCTCTCCACAGAAGTTCACCCAACATGTTAGAGGCCTCCCTTTAGATCTTTTGATATCCTGTGGGTACCAAAGTAATCCTCTAGCCATCCATTATTCTTTGCTTTTGCTATATAACTGGCCCACTACAAATCATGGAACACCATGATCTCAGAAGAATTAAAATGGCAACCCAAAAGGCAATGGAAAGATTAATGATAGTTATTAAGCAACTAGCATGTTACTAATGATTGTGAGAAATATAAAAAGATATTATAAAGGACATACATGACCAGAAAAGAAGGTTAAGGATACTCACAATAACAAGAATGAAACAACAGATGGACAGCCAAAACAGTACACTAATTCCACAAAATTTTAAGAGAACAAGAGGAAAATCTCTGGTACATTCAATAAACCCTTTATGTATGATTTAAGGGTGATATAGACTAGAACAGCACAGAATAAAAAGACACTGAAGAAGTCACACATCAGTGGAAGAAATAGCCACACCAAAGTATAACCCAAGATTCTCAAAAATGCCAAAATTGTGTTCACATGTATAAGAATTTACCATGGAACTCCTACACTCCTACAGGAGTGAGAGAAAGACTAGGGGTGCTGATTGTATTGCTCTGTGAAGTAATAACTTCACACTTGAATTTCCACCCGTTTTTTTCCCAAGGTAATCATTAGCAGCTTAGAAAGAGAGAGAGAAAGACGCACTCCATCTTTTTTCCATTTGAATATTAATCTTTGGCAGTATCACAAATTACTCACCCAGAGCAAGAATGGTCTCAGACCTAGAGGTGATATACATGAAATAAATTCTGTGTTCTTGACCATAAAAGGGCATCTGCATACTTGCTGGCAACACTACTCTGAGTAACTTAAGGACTATTTGGAGGGAGGAAAGAAGGTCATTTGACTACCACAACCACTTATTTTAGCCCAGGTTAAAAGCTGTTTCAAGTTCATTCCTCAAATGGATATAGAGTTGGACCCCAAAAGTAGTATGGCATGTGCACCCATTTTTCACATATGACTTGGTTTGGTGAAAATAAAGCCAAACATTTTGGCCCTATTCTTTACAGAGATGGGGTGGTACAGAATACTACATATAAGATCATATACTTTTTGCATACACTGGTTGGTTTTGCTGTACTCCTTTTGTTTTTGTTTTTTTATTTGCATATTGGGAAGTGTAGGTGATTAAAATGTATTTTCAAAAAAGAAAAGAAAGCCAAGAGTGCCAACAACCATACACCAGCCATTCTCAGTCTCACTCACTCACAAAATGTGATCACACATTGGTAAAACAACTTTAAAGTTGGTTTTTAATCTAGATTTCATCAGAATACAAAACTCCATTTTCATAGATAAAGTGGCACATCTTTGCAGCTTCTATTGCACCAAGAATTTAAAATTAAAAACACAAAACAAAAACATTTGGTTTGAAAACACTGCAAATAGCCAAGTACAGTACTTTGGTAAATCAAAAATAAAAAAGGCTTATATTGACAGAATTTAAAAAAAAAAGAAAAAACACTTTGGGGTGTAAACTACAGACATCAGATTCTAGGACACGTTTCTCATCATCAATTTCCATAGATAAGGTAAGACGTGCTAAGTCTATGGATCATGACCCCATGGAGGTCTTAAATATCTCCAAACTGAAGCTAGAACAAGTGTAGTGCTATCTGACAAAAGAGAAGGCCCCTCGTACATAGACACGCATTCACATCCTTCGTAAAAGGCATGGTAGTACACCAGCACCCCAGCTGCAGACCCAAGGGCAGGCAGTTTGACATGACAATTCACCTCTCTCCTTTCTTTCTTTTATGTGAATGTATGGCTGTTGAAGTATACCAGATTGATAGCCAGGGAAACCAGATGCCCTTTAATCCACAGAAAAAGGGGAAGTAAAGGCAGAACAACATATGGTTCACACCCAAACACTACCATGTCAGAAGCTCTAACAAAGAGAGCAGCCAGAGGAACAAACAGTAGGTTGGGTCTCCAAGTCCAAGTTCAAATCATTGTAAGGAAATCGTACAAGTAATCTTTTGCATATTCCCTGATGAGGACTGGCGTTACACCTGCCAATCCACTTCATGTGGACTACAGAATCATCATTAAGTGATAAATTACCTCGCACTCCTACCAACCCTGATGAGAGTCAGGTAATGTGGGCAAAGGGAGAAGGCCGGGATGGGCGGGGGGGGGGGTTTGGTTCTGTATCACTGGTGTAGCTGCCTTAAATGAAATTTACTGTATAAAAATTTATGCTTTTGGAAATAAGTTTCAAAAATTGGTGCCCACACTACTAAATATCTAAACAGAAACATCCAGGAAACAGACATGGCATACATCTCTCATATGGCTCTATCCTCAAGATATACATTTTGAGATAGAGCACAGTATTTGCACTTTGTGACTTACTGTCAATATTATTATGTCCTCATAAAATCACCATCTTTCATTTAAACATATGATTTTAAAGGGATTCTGATCATTTTCAGCATTAGGCAGCATGGTGTCATAGAAAGAGTGCTGGTTTGGGAGTCAATAGACCTGGGTTCAAATCCTGCCTCTGACAATTATCAGTTATGTGACCATGAGCAAGCCACTTCCCTTTTCTAAGCCTCAGGTTCCACATCTGTAAAATGGGGATAACACTTGCACTACCAGTCTCACAGGGTTGTTGTGGGAAAAGTACTTTGTTACAGTATTATGTAAATATGAGTTATTATTATCACAACTTGGGGACAAAACTTAAAATTTTAGCTTAGTCAATTTAAAAAATGTATTTTCAACTTTGTTGGAAGACATCTCCCTGTAAAAAGTGATGTCTATTAATCAATGATGCCATCCATGTCAACACAATTGTATGAAGCTCTCTGATTTTGAATGATACCTACTCTGAAGTCTGAGATGAATAACACTAGGAAATAACTAAGACCAACAATATGCAGGCAAATTGTATAATTTCTGTAGTTAAAAGCTTTGAAATGAATAGTGCCCTGAGGCCAAAATGTGCATACCTGTACTTCTACTCCAAAAAAATGGGGAAGAACTAAGACTACATATGCAATAAACTGTACTATTTGTCTTTATAAGGATCTAGTTGGCAAGCATGCTTTTCTGAGGTTACTTCTGCCCCAGAATATACATTTGAATTTCTTTACTTCCTGCTTTGAAAATGATCAAAAGTTTCATTAGAATTTAGCATTTCAGAAATGGTGAACTGAGATCACTATTGTTGACCTAATAAAACCCAGGAAAGGCCTAGAGGAGGGTTCCCTTAAACTAGAAAAACTGCAGCAGTGGAATCAAGATCTACCATTAGTTGAAAGGGGATGTCAGGGCATATTTACAATGGGAGCTTGCTGAATGCCCAACACAGCCCATTTAACTCATTCACAAAAGGTTTTCCCCTCTTCAATTGTACTTTCACAGGCAAAGGCTTCCCTAGAGTATCATTAGCAGAACATTAGAAATTACCTACATTCCGGCTTCTCCTGAGCCCAGGTCTAGTTGCTCCATAGGAGAGGTCACACAGTGCAAACCCTTGATGCCAAGAGAGCTATGGACATGTTTTCTGTGCTTATGGAAGAAACTCTAGATGGTCCTCAACTAGCAGTTATGAGTTTTCTTTTTGCCACAACTTCCACACCCAGAGATCATACCTGAAAGCATAGATTCAATGTGTCAAAAGAGTATTATGCTTCTTAAACACATACACACACACACACACACACACACACACACACACACACACACAGAAAATCTAATTCCACAATCCATTCTGGTAGCTTCTAGGAGTACTAAATATAATTGCTCTGACCCATTCATTTCTCTCTGGTTCAGCTGCTACCAATGAGGTTTTTTTCCCTTCCCACCCTAATATGAAAAATTCTTTTAAAACTTTTATAAATGCAGTGCTACTAACTAAACTACCACAGAGCTTCTCAGTGCTCCCTTCTTTTCTCTGCAGTAAGAGCATTCAGGGATAATTTCACTGAACACTAAATAGCTCCCAATGACATGAAAGTTAAGCATAGATTCAATCCCTAATCATGATTCAAATGGGTGACCCTGGCTAGGCTGGCAGCCACCAATAAGTTGTCTTAGCAGATATTCAAAATATACAGCTTTCCAAATTGTGGCTGCATACTAATGTCAAGGCCCTATCAAGGGGCATACATAGATTCCATTTATCCTGCTTTATGGGAAACTGAGGCAATAAATTCTTAAATCAAATCTTGAGCTAAAAGATGCCTACTAAGATAAAAATCCATATTCCCAATTCCTAAAAATTAGCACTTAAACAGTACCAATTTACAACTGAAGAAGTGAGAGAAAACAATAAAACAAATCACTGAAGCAGCTAGTTGATGATTAGAGCCACTGTCATTTAATCCCAGAAATTTTATGGATTATAAATTACCCAATCCCAGAAACAACAAGATATGACAAAATAAATGTCCTTTAATCTTTATAGTGCCTCCCAAATTCCTAGATATAGATATGCTCCTCTTGACCACTAACAGTGACCAATGAAGCAAAGAGGTAGTTTCCTCTAATATTTCCTACAATGGGTCCCTTCAGTTACCTCTGATTAAAAATTCTGCTGAATTTCACGTTCACGTCACTCTTCCTGTTCTGTCTGATGGGGCCCACTCTCCTCTGTCAGCTGTCACATAGGAGTACAAACCCAACAGAACAGAAAGACATCTCATTCAGAAAAAGCTTGGTCCCAATTAGGAATGTGCCCAGAGATGAACACCAACAGAGTAACCAACCTTAAATTATGTTTATAAAAGTGTTCGGGAACACTCAAAGCTAGCTCTCAAAGATAAAAGGAATCTTGGGATTCTACAATATGCAGAAAGAAAAAAGCTATTGACCAGTATGCGTGGTCTGTCTCCACCTAGCTGTTTAAGAAACCTGATAAATATTACAATCTGCACTCTGGAAAACGACCAAACCACAATGTCCTGGGAACAATCACGGGAAAATGTTAATGTTTCAACCAAAAGGTCATCAAAATGGAGAGAAAAAAAATCAAAACACATCATTCAAACCAAAGAAAGTATAAATGCTGCTGCTAAAAAGATAATTCCATGAATCCAGGGCCAGCCCAGACAACAGTATCTATACAATTCAAATATTGCTTTTATAGGTCTCCCTTCTGGGAATCTTTACAACTGGGGTAACTTTTTTTTTTAAATGGGAAATCAGCTCATAATACAACGTATGACTCATTAAGTACTGTTTTCACACAAATCAGTCAAAATTTGAAGATTAGACACCATATACACAGATATTCCCAGATAGAAAAGTTTTCCTTCACACAAGCTAAGAATCCTGAGAAAACATGCTGAAATTGCTCAAGCCTTGCTATGCAATTTCAGAATTAGACTTATAGTTTAAGGACCTTTAGCCAAGATACCTGTTCCGACCCGTGATCCACAATGACAATGCAATGAGCTCTTTGTACTATCAAAATCCCAAGAATGAGAAATAAGTTCATTATTACAAGGAATTTGATTTCCATGACACTAAAGAAATTTTAATTCATGGATCAACACAGTTAAGTTCCCTTGACATCTCTGATAGCAACTTTCCAAATCTAAAATAGAGGGGAAGAAATCTGAGATGTTTAAAATGTCAACTTGGGGGAAAAAGACAAAAACAAAAATCATTCTTCCTAACATATATGGTTCTCCCTTTACAAAAACAGTCCTACACATAAAGAATCCCTTTGAAGGCAGGTTCTTCTCAGACACTGGGTCAGGAAATTCCTTGACCTCCCCTTTCATTGCTATGAAAGAGAAGAAAATCCTGTTCCAGTCATGTCCAAAGTTCCAGAAATGTTTTGTAAACAATAAGGCAATCTTTTCCATTTCAAAGAAATGGTTATCAAGAAATCTTCAATTCTACTTTTTCTTTCTTCCCTCTTTAACAGTCAGAAGCATTAGCGAGCATATGGCTTGAGTACAACTAGACATGAAAAGCACCTGGTCCAGGTTGAAACTCAAAATCCAAGAGGGGGAGAAATCTAAATTACTCGATTTTCACCCTTACTATAGGCCCCATCTGCCCCTACATTATACAGCTTTGGAAAAACAGTTCCTGAATTTTTTCTATACAATTAGGATCAGAAGAAAATAAAAGAAATCTAAACTTGTTCCTGAGTTGGAGATCATTTGCAAACTACCCTGTATATTAATGTCTGCATATAAACCAGGGAAAGAAAAAAGGCTTATCATTCTAAATTTGAAACTACTAACCTGAATTAATTCATGAACAATACAGCAAAACTCACCCCAAACATTAAGGAAAGAGTCCATAACCACTGAACTCATTGTCAGGAAGAGCAGAGCTACACTTAAAATGTTCCACTGACCTAATTAACCATTCCTAAATTCTTGAGTTTTACAGAAGGTGATTTTTTACTGCACGTGTGGTCAAAACAACAACAAAAAAGAACACATCACTAATGAAAAGCTAAATTAAAAAGAGCTAGGGACAAACTAATATTTTTGAATATGTTTTGTAAGCATTTTCCTTTCTTTTTTTTTTAAATGATGGCCTTATCAGAAAGCTTAGTCTATTTCCTATTCAGCAATCCATTTTCCATCAGCTTATCGCTTTAGAAGACACCAAGAGCAGTCAAATGTTGAGAGCAGCAAAGGTCTTCACCAAGGTGACCTGTGCATTAGCATCTGCCTCGCTGCGATTGTTATCGGGGTTGTTACTCCTGTTCTCCTGGGCTCTCTGGCGGTGTCGCTCCTCCTGGCGCTTCTTCTTCTCCAGGCGCTGCTGCTCTCTCTTTTGTTTATTTGTTACCTGAAAGAGAAGACTGTCCATATCAGTACAAGCACATCTGACGCAGAGAGCTGCTGCCTCTAAGAAAGGAGAAACAGCAGGTGCGTGCAAACCTCCCCCCCACACACACACACAGACACATGTGAACACACACTTTAGCTTTTCTGTAGGAACTCAGAAAACTTTCAACAGTAAAAGAAATAACGTGATTACCACTTTTAAGTCCACCTCCCAGTTGAAATATAAGAAAACAAAATAATTAATTTCATTCTCCATTCTCTAGTTTTCCCTTCATGAGCCAATATTCAAAGAGAGTTATGCCACTTCCCAAATTATCTAGTAACCTGAAAAATGGAAATTAAAATACTTTTAAGGGAATCTCACACCCATCGTTCTTAAAAACTGCTAAAAACAATAAAATTCAATGTTAGTGGTACTATTGTGAAAATGGGCACTCTATTAAAATGTTGACAGACTGTGAAATGGTGCAAGCTTTTTGGAGAGCAATCTATTAAGTATTAAGTCCCTACTATGTCCCAGTTACTCTACTAGGCAGGAAAGATACAAAACAAAAATGAAACCATCCAGACCCTCAAGGAGCTCACATTCTATCAGAGGAGAATAAGTCTGATGGGGGGCAGCTAGGTGGCGCAGTGGATAGAGCACCAGCCCTGAAGTCAGGAGGACCTGAGTTCAAATCCGGCCTCAGACCAAACACTTGACACTTACTAGCTGTGTGACCCTGGGCAAGTCACTTAACCCCAATTGCCTAAAAATTGAAAAAATTTTAAAAAAAAAAGAAGACATCTGATAGGAAATGGATATGTAAAATTAAATATCACGGCACTAACAACTAGGGCGCAGCAGAGGCAGCAAGGCCTGCATACAAAGGGACACCTGAGTTAAGCTTTAAAGGAAAATGAGGAATTGGAGAAGTGGAGGTAAAGGGGTAAGGAGTGGAGGTGAAGGAGTGTGAGGTATAGAAAGAAGGCTAAAACATAACAGTACATGAAGGAGAATGATGAATCAGGCTAGAAAGGCAGTTTGGAGTTAGGTTATGAAGGACTTAAGGAGTCTGTATTTGATCCTAAAGGGATGCCACTAGAGTAAACTGAGAAGGAGAATGGCATGGCCAGACCTGTGCTTCAGGACCATTGACTTGGCAGTTGTGTGGAAGATGGACTGGAGAGAGGAGAGACCTTAGGCAGGGAAATTCCTCTAATAGTGCAGGGAAGAAAGGATGAGGGTCTGGACTAAGGTAGGAGCTTTGTGAGTGGAGAAAAGGGGACAGAGGTTGTAGAAGCAGAATTGACAAGACTTAGCAACTGACTGGAGATGCGGGGGAAGGAGAGAAGGGAATTCAAGATTACAAGCCTGGGCATGAGAAAGCAGCAGGTCCTTCACGGAACAGAAAAATTCAGAGGAGGTGTGGATTTGGACGGGAAAAATAAGTTCTGCTTTGAACATGCTGAATTTGAGATGCCTACAAGACATCCTGTTCAAAATGCCCAACAGGCATTTATTTGGTAATGAAGGATGGGAGCTTGAAAGAGCAAAAGGTCTAGATGTATAGCTCTAAGAGGAAACTTTATTAAGATGAAAATTAAACCTGTCAGTGCCGATGAGATCATCATATTAGTAAAAGTTAAAAACTGACTATATCTTTTGACCCAGCAATCACATTGCTGGGACTATATCCTAAGGATGCTATTAAAAGAGGAAAAAAACCTTCAAAAAAAATTGTACAAAGGTATTTTCTGTACAAAAGTATTCATAGCTACTTTTCTGTAACAGCAAAAAACAAGAAACCCATACATCCAACAACTAGAGAATGGTTGAATTTATAGTATATCAATGTGACAATATTACTGTGCCACAAAAAGTAACAAATATTAAAATAAATATGGACAAATATAAATAACACAGAACAAAGTTAGCAGAATTAAAAGAACGTACACATTGATGATTATATTAAAAAGGACCACAAAACTTTTTAAGCACACAAAAGAGATTAGAAAAAGACACAGAACTACAATCATATTATTGTCAATATTTTTAATCAAATAATAATACAGATTCTACAGTATTATTTGGAACTTAGTGCCAAAAAGTTTCATTTGTATTTTTAGTGAACACAAAAGGCGCTTGCACGTGTGTACACACACACACACACACACACACACACACACACACACCCCAAAGAAGTACCCAATCAAAGTCCAGGCCAAACAGATTAGCTTACCACAAAACCCAGTAAATTGGACACAGTAAGCACTTAATCTTTTATTCATTTTCACTCATTCGCCACTCAAAATATAACATACTATATGACAAGTTCCTTTCCACTAATCTAATGACAAGGAAAGTCTCTATGTGTGACCTTATCTTGAGCTACTTTGGATCACAAGATCTTTTTTTTTTAAGTAAATCTGAATATTTAAAATGAATCTCAGTAATTGTATCAAATTTCATATTTAGTCCAGAAAAAAAGATTGAGGAAAAATAACAACTCTTTTCAAATACCTAGTGTGTTGTCACATGAAAGAAGAGTTATTATTCCTTTATTATTCTATGCAGCTCCAGAGGGCATAATTAGAACTAAAGGATGGAAGTTACAGGAAGATAAGATTTTGGATTAGCATAAGGAGAAACTTCCTAATAATCAGAACTGTCCAAAAGTGGAATGGACTATCTTAGTGCATCTCCTTCATTAGAAATATTCTAGTGGAGACTAGCTGTAGAGCAATGGTGTCAAACTCAAATAGAATAGGATCCCTGTGGCCACTAAGAAAACCACAAATTAACATTATCTATGTTGTATTGTATTTTTATTTTGTTAAACACTTCCCAATTACATTTTAATCTGGTCTAGCCCCTGAGTTTGACACCTCTGCTGTAGGAGAAGGCACTTGTGCCGTAAAAAGTTGTTAATAACTGTAGATGGAGATACTTTGGGGTTCCTTCCAACTGAGTCTTTAATTCCAAATATCTTTAATAAAGAGCATCCCGCCATCACACTTTCCACTCCCCTCATATATACCTTGAGGGGCTGGCTTTTACTTGTTTTGTTTTCTCCAACAGGACTGCTTTGTGTTTTATTGTTTTCATTTCCACTTTCACTTAAGCCTTGACTTCCAAAGATTCTATTACCACTGCCGCCCTCCTCCCATATGGAGCCACGCTGTTTCTGAGCTCTGCCATAGATCTCTGGTTTCTCCTCTGCCTCATCCAAAGAAAGGTATTGTGCTGAAATAAATTGAGAACCCAAGAAGTTAAAAGAATACAGCTGCCATGTTAAATGACTCCAGGGCTAATTGAGTCCCCAGCACATTATCATTTAGGAAGCCAGCTTTCCTGAGGTATTCTGCTAGCAAGCCACAAATATCAATTGATCACAGCAGGAAATAAAGAACCCCAAAAGGCTGAAAGACTTTAGGTAAGTGGACACAAACACACACACAAAAAACCTGATGCTCTTTCCCATGATCAGCCTTCATACAAATTAAGTAAGGTGCTTCCGCTTTCAGCATAAGTTTTTGAGAACATGTCCTCATTTTCATTTAACTCCCTAAAGAAAGAATATTGCCAGAGTCACAAAATCTAAGATACAGTAACTCCACCCTTTGGAGTACATATAATAATATACATATGGAGTATATAACACTAAGTAAAAAATCTGACAAACACAAGTATCTGGAAAACTACATGGCTGAAGATAAATGATGAGGTAATATTAGACCTTTCATCTCTGCAGCCCTAGTAAAGATCTACAATTCAAGATGATAGAGATTTTAAAAACTATCATTTGATAGAGGCTGGTGATTTAGATAACATGGGAGAGTCTAGCTTAGGATTCCAAATAGTATAATTAGGTACACTGTCCTTCCATTCCATTTTAATTGGAATGGTTCTCACAACTACGAAGCAAAAGAACTCTACCTAGAGGAGCTGATGCTAACAAAAACTATGATGTTCATAGTTTGGGAGCAGAGGAATACAGACCTCACTTTCCATTAATGCTAATTCGTTTTGCAGGTTTATAAGCAGTATGTTATCTACTTACGGTTTCTTTTCCCCTGATTCATCTGTACCATCGCAAGTATTGCAGATTCAATGTTATAATTCTCAGCTTCCAAGTTCTGGACTATTAAATTAACATCCTACCCAAAAAACAGAAAGATATGTCAATATCCTATTTACATGTTCCTATCCAATTTCATTACAGCAACTTAATAAAATATGGCAACTGCCCTCGTTAAAGATATCTATATACTTTACTCATTATAGAGAACTCCTTCATTTCAACAATACAGAACATTACCTTAGAATATGTACCTAGAGTGATCAATTAAGCCTTTCGGATAACTTTGGGGCAGAGCTAAATACTAGTTTAGTTTCCTACTTTTAATGTAAAAAGTTCCCTTTTTTAATAGTTTTTTTTTTACCAATACTCAGCACTAATTAAAAAAAACACATATGCTAGTTTTATAATGAGAACAATAGCAGGCAAATTTACAAAATGAAAGGGAAATAAGTGATGTTCATTAAAATTGAAAAAAAAATCCTATCATATATAATTAGCCAATGTAACTCAATAAGTACAGTATTGTGAGGCAGGAATCAGAATTCTCGTGAAACTATCTGGGCACAACCGGCACACTTTTAGTCCAGAGAGTGGAGGTCTTCTCAGCAGTACTAACACCGCAAACTACAGTCAACAAGAGCTACGTCCTTTCACTAACGTTGCTTACAAAGTATTTTTCTACTATGCAGATACTAACTGAACATCCAGTTGCATTACAAACTTTCTGCACAGCATCTTCTACTTCATCTTTCAAGTCATCTTCAAAGTCATCCTCCTTTGACTTAATCTTCTCTCTCTTATTTGATTCATCTTTATTAAGCATCTGAAACTAAAAACATTTTAATTTGGAGACAAGAATCATGGACTGGACTTACTGTCTTTACTGTCTTCATTCGAAGCAGTTCTGATCTCAAAGAAAATAAAAAGGATGGAAGAAAAATGATGAAAAACATATTAACATATTTCAAGACCGCTTAAATACAGTAGCAATAAGCGGGTGGGCCAACATTTCATTCAGGCAAGGAGACTAAGACGACACCCCCCCACACACAAAAAAGGCATCTAAGTGCAGCCACCGCATTGTTTCTGCTTAACTGTTTTTCTTTGTTACAATAAGGGAGGAGGTGTTTTCTTCCAGAAGCAACTGTGATGTACAGACAGAAGGCCTCAATATAAAAAGACATCTAAGACAACTGGTGGGAGAGGGAGGGGGCAAGGCAATGGGATTAAGTGACTTGCCCAGGGTCACACAGCTAGTAAGTGTCTGAGGCTGGATTGAACTCAGATCCTCCTCAGAACTCCAGGACCAGTGGTCTATCCACCCAGCTGCCCCCTAAGACACTTATTGAACTGTCTTAGATATGGAGCAGCATCAGCCCAGTCTATACCAAACAGATAACATCCATAGCTATTCTTTATGATCCTAGAAACCATATTGATAGTAACTGTTTAACATTAGAGGCAAACATCTCCCAGCGAAGAGCCAGAAGCAAGAATAGAAGAACCCACCCCCACCCCAAACCCCTCTGCATGGCCTTAGCCCTGAATTACTGCAACAAGAAAGGGCTTGTCTACTTTTAGATATTGTTTAAAGACAAATGATGGGCTAAAACCACCAGCACATATCTTTCATCTGGTTCCCTGGGTTTTGACTAAAATCAACAAGTCAGGATCTAATATCATTGCCACTCTAGTTGATCAACCCCATCTGACCAGAATTTATCTAACCTCACATACCTAATTCCATAAAGATGTCCCTATCACACTCAGTTAATAGCAAGTTCAAGTTCCATAATCACAAAGAACAATCCACTCCTGGGTCCCTAAAACCCTTCATGTACCTAATTTACCCATAAGCGATATCATGCCTTAGTTTGTAAGGAAGAAAAGGAAGCACTGAGTCATCATCTCTGCCTCTAGTCTACATTGGGAATCAGGCAAGGAAAATGCTACTTCATATAAAAACCAAAAGTGAAAGCAAAATAATAAGTGATAGAGTGAAAACTTCAGTGAAAGGAGTACCAACTGCTTCTACAAGAAGCAGAAAGTAGTCTGGTGAGAAAACATTACCTGTTTCATCTACCTGAGCCGAATGAGAAACAAACCAACCCTGCAGCTCTCTAAAGCTAGCTCTCCACGAAACATCCGTATTAGCTACTGAACCCCAATAGTACCCTCTGCTTTCTCTCAAGGGCTACTATTATAGGGCTACGGAATTCGGGAGGAAGACCATGCTCACGTCTGTCTGAAGATGGGCAGGCGCTTCTGAATTATCATTGATTCTCCGAACGCTGTCATAGTGTTCACCATAGCGATATGCAATGTGCAGCTCCCTGACGTTGGCTTTATCCGTACCACGAATCTGAAAGCAAAGCAGGAAGAAATGTGTGCAGCAACAAACACAGAAACCCTGTTCCACACCCAGTAACCCTTCCAGCGACACTGCTTTTCTATAAGGGAAGAAGGCCCAATATGCCTGTAGGAATTACCTTGCAAAGGCCACAAGAACTTCACATTGTATATGGCCTTTAGAAACAGAAACCAAGCTGGCTTTCAGTTACTGATTATGCCATCCACACCCTCTGACCCGGAGATCCCACTGCTAGGCATATACTCCAAAGTGGTCAATGAAAGAAGGAAAAGGTGCCAGATACCAAAATGTCTCCAAGTCGCCAGTCTCTAACACTGCATTACACAGCAAGCATTTACTCGATGTCTGCTGAACTGAAGCTTCTGAGCTGTATGATCCTGGTCAAGTCCCAACCTGAAGAGCCTGAGCTTCCACACCTTTAAAATGAAGCTAACACCAGCACCACCCGTCGCCAAGGGGGCTGGTAAGGAGAGTGGTTCTACAAATCCTAAAGAATAGCAGAGAAGAAGCCAACAGACAGCAGAGACTGGACTGTCTGATACAAATGTGAGGGACTATTCTTATCCAAGGTATTCATTTTTACAAAAATTTATCTTTTTTAGTATACAGATAGCCTTCCCTTTTTCCTACTCACAATAAAAAATGAAACAGAACTGGAATTCCATACACTGTTAGGTATAGTGAGGTGGTACAATGAGAGCACTGAGCCTAGAGTTCACTCAGATACCTACCAGATGGGTGAGCCTGGGCAAGTTATGGTTTGCTTCAGGTTCCTGTAAAATGGGGATAATAGCAGTACCCATCTCCCAGGTTCAAGTAAGGTAATAATTAATAATGCTCAGCACAGTGATGGCACATAGTAAGCACTATATAAATGTTACCTGTTGTTATAATTTCTACATACCCCAACTCAGAATTGTAATAAAGGAATACTTCACCTTAAAATCCTCATTTCTAAAAATTCTCCTTAAAATTCTCAAATAAATTTCTGAATTGGCATTTCTAGAATACTATAGGTGGTATGGCTCTCTTTGTTCCCACAGAACCAATTATGTCATTCAAACGCTCCTGGGGGTGATAGGTCTTAAAGTATGCTTAACCCAAAGTAGACACTTAATAAATGCTTGCTGGTTGATTAACTTCCTATAAACTTCAGTGAATCAGTGTGTACTTTTATATTACAATTCCATTCCTGTGCACAACTACATTACCTCTCAATGGCATTCACTTTAATTACTGCAAGTTTTTCCACCATAAGCCACCAACTACATTTCTAGTCACATTACTTAAGACCCCAGGACAAGTCATTTTGGCCATTCATTGCTTTAGACAACTGAGATAAAAAGTTACAAAGAAGGAGCTGACATACCTCCTGGGTTGAGGGAATCTTCTCATCTGAGAGTTCTCTATACCAATGGAATCACAGATCCAGTCCCTCTCATTCACTTAAAGAAGCCCCAAAGTTATTTATAAATGACTTTCCTTCAAATTCTCTACTAAGTGACTTACCTGCCACAAAGGGGCATTAAGCTGATGAATAACAACATTCATTTGATGATTTCTTGCAAAGGCTACAATTGCATCATTTCCAGCAAAAGTACCAGGTTTTGCCAAACTGGCAACTAAATGAAAATGGGAGAAAAATGAAGGCTTCAGGAGAGAATGCTCAAAATGCAAACAAAGCTTCGAAGATTCTGCCACACACAAAGACAAGGAGGAGTACGTAGGACTCATCATAAATAGCTATAGATCAAGTACATTTCTAGCAAGAAATACCTACATCAGCTGTGGATGCCTTGCCTGAAATGCTTACAGAAAAGATGGGAGATTTGATGTGGTCATAAAAAGATTGTGACTTGTAAAAAAGAACTAGGGAATCCAGACTCAAGAGTTACAGGTTCCCAAGCAAGGAGCAAGACTGAGATTGAAGTCTTAAAACCACTAAGCTATGTGGTATCCACAGAGAAGTGGAATTCACAAGTCATTTTTAAGATGCTAACTCATTTTATTTTCTTCTAGACTCACTGCAAAGTGTTAAAATCATAATATAATGGAATGATTCTTATAATAATATTCAAAGAAAGGATTATTTTCCTCAATATTCAGGAGTATTCCACTCTTGGAAAAAAAAGTTACATTTTTAAATAAATGTCTTATAATTTTCCACAACATATGTAAGGACTGGCTTCCAAACCTTTAATCTGACACAGATGGCAGATGTGTAGATTAGAATTCTTTCATCTCTGCTATAACAGAGTCTTTCCCTCAGTCGTTTCATTCTCATTCCTATATGCCTCCAAAGGACTACCAGGCATGTTCAGTAGCATTTTTTTCTAAAAACCATTTCCTAATCTACATATGAGTTTTTCAGGAAATTAAATAACTGAAAGCTCCTATTCTCCTTAGGGCCCCAACACCAAACTCAACAAATTACTCTGACTAAAAACATTCAGAATGCAATTCACATTTGCAAAGGGACAAACTCATTTTGTAAAATGCGCATAATTTGGCTAAACATTACTTAACTGATCTGTGTAGAAAATAATCCGAGAATTTTGCCTAAGGTATGTCAGTCTAATGTGTAAAAACCAAAACATTCCAACAAAACTATGGCAATCTCCTCAGAATAAAGGGAGCTCAAACAATACGGCACTGAGTTGTAAAGGAATCGAGTTGAACTCCAGCACTGTTATAGGCTTACAGTGTAACCTTGGGTAAGTCACCACCTCTCAGAGGCTCAGTTACAGAGCAGGCTCTGTAAAAGGAGGGGGCTAGGATAAACGATCTCTAAGCTCCCTTCCAGTTCTAAATAGATCTTATGAGGGACTACTGCAGTTCACTAAACAATACTAACTGTTTATTTAAAGGACTACTTTCCACCTTTCAAGTTGGAACAGGCTTTAAGTGAAAACAAAGCCACAAGACCTACATTTTTTCTTCTCATTTTAAATCATAAGAAATAGAAGTTATAAATCACGACAACGGGTCATCTCAGGATTACCTTAATATTACTTAACTGACATTCATTAAAAAAATTGCTTTTAAAGAATCACTTTGTGATGATACAGTGGAGGTTGCTAATAAATGTAATTACCTAATGCATTTCTCTAAGAGGATATAGTATCCCACTGACCTACCGTGTTTCTCAAAGGGAATATCATCCTCCACAAAAGGTTCAAAATCATCCCGCTGTCTTATCATATAGTCAACAGTCTCCTGTCTGTGTTTGAGATGATTTCGTGAATGTCCCTCTAATTGATCACCAAGAGCTCGGAATAGACAATTGCTGCAAGGAAAGAAGTTTTGGTTAACAATATTTTAATTTTAATAAAGGAAGAAAAAAATAACTAACAAACTGATTCTTATCAAATAAAAGCCTCCAAGGCACTAGACAGTAACTACTCATTTACATAGTCCTTATAGGTTTACAAACTGCTTTCCTCACAGAAATCCATAGTAGACAGCACAAGTATTATCACTTCCATTTTACATAAGAGGAAACTGAGCTCAAAGAGGTTCAATAATCTGCCCAATGTCACCCAGGTAATAAGTGTCAGAACCTTGATTTCAGAGTATTATCTTTTTTTTTTTACTACAAACCCAATGCTCTTTGCATTACACCATATTGTCATAAATCCTCACAGGTGGATTTATGGAAAGACTCAGCTCTTTACCTTCCCAGGGTAAATATGTAAGAGGAGAAGAGCCCATGCTGCCTTCATAGATTCCCTCACATTTATCTAATGCTCTAAGGCTTACAACCCTTTGAAGTACAAAGTACAAATACTATTCTTTGCATTTTATGGAGGAATAAAGTAATGCTCAGAGAAGTAAAGTACTTGCCTGCAGGCACACAGCTACCAAATGGGAAAGGAGAATTTGATCTACTGGCTCCAAAGGCAGTGATCTTTCCACTACAATAGTAATAATCTCTCCCCCTTCCCTATCCATTGCGAAGGCAAGAGAAACAAAACCCATTATAAATATGTATAGTCAAACAAAACAAATTTCCACACTAGCCATGTTCAAAATGAAATCTAAAAAAAAAAAAAAAAGAAAGAAGAAGTAAATATGTTTCAATCTGCACATCAGCTCTTTATCTGGAAGTAGAGAACATGTTTCATCAAGAGTACTTTGAAATTTCAGTTGGCCATTGTAATTGTTGTTCAGAGCTCCTCAATCCTTAAGAGAATAGTATCTACTTAAGAAACAATGTGGCATAGTGGGAAAAGCTCTGAACCAGGAGCACAAGACCCTCTGTTCCTGTCCCTATTTACTAGCTATACAATCCTAGAAAAACCACTTAATGCCTCTGGGCCTAGGTTGCCTTATCGGTAAAATAAGGATAATGCTTTACCCTATAAAGACAGAGGGAGGGGCCTAGACCAGATGACTTCTTGAAGTCCCTTCCAGACCCAAGATCTAGGATTTCCCCATATCACCTTAGAAATAGATAGTCTACATGGCAATCCACATCCACTGCCCTCTTTCTGAACCAAGTTTCACTGGAGGTTCAATGACACAGCTATCTCATTACTCATTTTACATAAAGTGTCCAAAAGATAAGTGTTCCTTAGACTAAAGGAGTCTGTCCAGCCAAGCAGCTTGAGAGATAAAAGCTCTTGCATCTGGTCAGAATCCTAAGGAGATAGTGGAGAAACCTATGCAAAAAACATTCATTGAACAAACAACACTATTATGAAATGGAACGTCTTTTTTTCCCCTGACTCCTCACCAATCACCTGGGGATCAACAACACTTAACTCTTGTCAAAGGAAAACCACTCACCTTGGTCACCACAGTTTCCAAATCTAATAATGTTGTTTCTACATCACCAGAAAGAAACAACTTCGAAAGACTGATCATCCCAACAATAAACCATGATTCCAGAGGACAATTGAAATATACTACCAACCTCCTAAGAGAGAGGCGATGGCTTCATGAGCAAAGATTGAGATATATTATTTTTGGACATGGTCAATATGGGAATTTGTTTTGCTTCACTATACATTTTTTATAACAGGTCTTTTTTTCTTTCTTTCTCAATGTGAGGGGGGGAGGCAGAAGGAAGTCAGAGAAGGCAGATTTTCACTGATTTTTTTAAAAATAATTTTTTTGTAAAGACACTAGCTAACCCATGCCCAAGCATCATAAAATCCCAAACTACCAGCAAAGTCAGAACTAGAGATAGGCAAGATAAGTAACTGAAAAGGTAAGGGAAAGTGTGCAGGTAAATTTTTTCATGACTTTAAGATTTTCTAAATAAATTCAAAATAAATATTCTAAATCTTTATTCTAAATATTCTAAGTATATATTTCTAAATAAATTTTAATGCTAGCTGTTATGTCAATTCAGTAATGGCTCAAAATCTCCAAGGGATGGTAACACACAAAATACAACTGTCAGACCCGGCCTGGGATCCACAGTCGGCTCTGGCTGCTCTCCCTTACTATCCCATCATCATCCATGCCCACTGAAGTCATAGCTTTCATGTAGATGTTACCTTCGGTTGCACAATTTTATGAATCACAACAAAGTCTAAAAATACTCAAAGCAGCAGCTGGTTTTTCTATATTCTGAATTTTTTTTCCTCGGGTGATAGCCAGAGGGTGCTCAAAAGTAGAAATCAATAAGCCATTAAATCAGTGCTACAAAACAATTTATGCCAACACCTGTTACTTGCCCAAGGGAATACTTATATGGTGATAGAACCTATCCTTGGCTCTGAGGCAACCACTGGCAGAGCCCACAGGATGATCACAAGCCCTCTAACTCAACAGAATCTAAGCTTCTTGAAGGCAGGGGGTGTTTCACGTTTGTCTCTGTCTTTGTATCCTCAGAATACTACACAGTGTCTTGCACAGTAGGCACTTAATAATGGGTAGAGGGTTGGGAGAACAAATTAGGGAAGACCTCATTGAAGAGATGGTGTTTAGGCTGAGGCTTAGAGGATAAGTAGGATATCAAGAGACAAAGAAGGATGAGAGAATGGAATATGAACAAATGCAGGGAAAGAGGGTCTTTCTTAGAGAACAGCCCAGTCTAGCTGGCTGGAAAGGTAGTCTGGGGTTACACCACTGAAAGCATTGGATGCCAGGTGGCAGTATGAACCACAAGCCCCTTTCTTCACCTTTGAGAGAAAGTGCATGAACCCTGTTTCCACTGAATGTTCTCTTCCATCCCATCGTTCTTGCACTCCTATCTCCTCAGCAGCTGGGAGAAGAGGAGAAAGGCTCTGCCAAGACCTTTCCTGTTCCTACCCTATTCTTCCTTCTCAAAGGACATGTCATGTTTCCAAATCCCCTCCTCTGTGTCTCTCCCTGCCTTTCAGAGGCTTCTTGCCCTGCTCCCTGTCCCCCCCCATTACTCCTGATCCCTGTAACCCCCTCCCCTTCCATCACATGAGCCCTTGTGCCTGCATTTCTTCTTTTCTTGCACTCTCTCCCACTGCCCCCAATCCCCTATGTCCCTCCACTCTCAATTCTTTAACCACTCTCCATCTGTTCCTCCCCTATCCTCTCTCCCCCTAAGAGACTAGATCAAGCCCTGGACCAGAAGGCAAAATACAGGCCTAACTAAGCTTAGTTCCTGGCTCTGATACTTAATAACTGTGAGTGCATTAGCAGTAATCTCACTTCTCTAGGCCTCAGCTTTCCCACCTATAAACACGATGACCCATACAATGAGGAAAGCCATGGGTACAACCCTGAGGAATGAAGTGCACCTAGGATCCTTTTCCCCAGAGATGTTACCTCTGGCTTCCCGCTCCTTCCTCTGTGGACAGTCCTACTTCTCTAGACTCATCCATCTCATCATCCCAAGTCCTTTCTTCCATCTGCCCTCATTCTTACCACTGTCCCATCCTTCCTAACTCAACTCCCTAGTGCACTGTCACTCATTCTGTCCCTGTTTCCTGGGGCTCACCTCACCCAGCCAATCCAATTTAATAAGCAAAGTTCAGAGAACAGGCCTTAGAGTTAGGAAGACCTGGGTTCAAATCCCCACCTGTGGCATATATTGGTGTGACTCTAGGCAAATCACCTAAATGTTTCAGAGTTCCAAGCAATTCTTTTTTTTTTTTTTGGCAATTGGGGTTAAATGACTTGCCCAGGGTCACACAGCTAGTTAGTGACAAGTGTTTGGTCTGAGGCCAGATTTGAACTCAGGTCTTCCTGACTTCAGGGCCAGTACTCTATCCACTGCACCACCTAGCTGCCCCTCAAGCAATTCTAAGCTGAGAGAGAAAGCTCATTATAGGGCAAAGTGCTGGATTTTGAGTCAGTGGAACTGTATCTGAATCCACCTCTCACATTTACTACCCGTAAAATCTTTTGCAAGCTATTCAACCTCTCTGGGTGCCAGTTTTCCCATCTGTAAAATGAAGGGGTTGACTTAGGTGACCCTAAGGTCCCTTCAAGCTCTAAATCTAAGGTGCTAAGGTGAAAAAAGTGTAAAAGAATTTTCCTATACCAATGAAATCACAAGTTTCTGACAAAAACAACAAAGCCCAAGTCAGGCAAGGTAAACGCCAAAACAAAAATCAACCACTCCTTGCCCTCAAGGAGCTTACAGTCTACTGTTCCTAACCCTAACCCCTGGGGATCCAGAAAGGAAGAGGAAGCTCACTTGCTTGCACTCTCTCTCTCTCTCTCTCTCCCCATCTCTCTCTCTCTCTCTCACATACACACACACACACACACACACACACACACACACACACACACACACACCCTATCTCCAAATCTCCTATCCCCAAGGCCAGTACATGTGGTCTGCCTTCACACCCTGGCTCTAATTTAACCTCTCCAGCCTTATTATACATTATTCTTCTCAAACTCCATGGTCCAAACCACCCTTCTTACTGTTCCTGAACTGGATCCTACCTCTCCCATCTCCCTGCCTTTGCTCCAGCAATCCTCCATGACAGGAATGCTCTCCCTCCTCATCACTTCCTTGGCTTCCTTCAAAGCTCATGGCAAATCCCACTTTCTGAAAGAAGCTTTTGGGGACGTGCGGTTTCCTCTGGGATTTACCTCCAATTCACCTCAAGTATATATTCCATACATATATAGTTGTTTTTGAGCTGTCTACCAAATTAGATGGTGGGCTTCAGGAGCCCTTATATAAGGACAGCGTTTGTCGCAGTAACTGTTGCTTTGTCTTTCTTTGTACCTCTAGCGCTTAGCACGGGGCCAGATACATTCTTACACAGTTAAGTGTTTAAGCAATGCCAATAGACGGACTACCGTAGTCTACCCAGACAGTAGCTCCTGGAGGGCAAAATCTGTTTTGTTCTGTTCAGTGTGTGTCTCCTAATGGTATGCATAACAGCTATCGTTTACACAGCGCTTTAAGGTTAGCAAAACGTTTGTCTCGTTTGACACGCACACACATATACAGACATAGACACATACACGCACGCACGCGCACACATACATATACACACACACCCCAACCCTAGGAGGAAGATGCCCCATTTAACAGATGAGGAAACTGAGGCTGAGAAAGGTTAAGCGAGTGCACTTGAAGGTGCTAAATAAACGCTTGCAGACTGACTGCTACCTCCTCACCTCGGCACCTGTTCAGGTCCCCAGATCGCACCTCCGCACCCCTACCTCCCCTGGTCCTCGGACTACGCGCATCCTCCCGGGTCCTGGCAGCGCACGCCTTCTCCCTCCCGCCGCCCCCATTCCCCTCCCCTGTCCTGGCAGCGCGCGCCTCCCCCGTGCCCCCTCCTCCCAGCGGTCGGGCCCCGGCGCGCGCAGCCTCCCCGATCCATCCTCACCCGTCGCCCGGCACCTCGCGCAGCTTGAGCCCCAGGGCCTGCAGCTGGTTGGCGAAACTGACGAACTCCTCCTCGCCGCCGGCGCCGGTCTCTGTCCGGTTCCGCCGCTCCTTGGCCAGGGCTCTCCGAGCCGCGCGCTCGTCCCGCTTCCGCTCCGCCTCGGCCTTCCGGCCGCTGCCCGGCCGACTCTTCACCGCCTGCTTTCGGGACATGACCCAGCCCCCGGCCCAGGCGCCGGGAGGGGGAGACGACGCCCCGAGCGCAGCTGACGAGGCGAGGCAGGCGGCGGCTGCAGCAGCAGCGGCGCCGGGGCAACGGCGGAGCAGCTTCTGCGCTTGCGCCGCGTCCCTCGAGCCTCTGCCTGGCAGCGGCTTCCAGGAGCCCTTGTCACGTGGCCCAGAGCACAGGGTCCTCAGAGAGGAGACAGAGAGCTGGGGCTAGCTAGAGCGGCCCCACAGGGCCGAGTGGTGTTCGTTCCGCCCCCTAGCGACGAAGGTGGTGCTCCGAGGGAGGCAGAGGGCGTGGGGACAGTGTTTTATAGCTGGAAGGAATCTTAAAAGACGATCTGTTCCAACCCTTGCATTCTTTATAGATGAGATGGATGGATGGAGGGATGGAGGGTTGGATGCATAGATGCATGAATGCATGGACAGATGGATGGATAGAGCATGTATTAAATGCTTACTAGGTATAAGACATTGTGCTAAGCACTGGGGCTCCAGATAGAAAATAGGATAGTCTCTGCCCTCAAAGAGTTCACATTCTGATAGGAGGAAACAACACACTTAGGTTTCAGAGGCAAATCAAATGAAAAATATTCCATGGTCTGTAGCATGGGAGCAGCAAAGTAAATGATAATACCTCTTTTATTAAAGTCATTAATTGACTGAGGCCCAAGTGTTGAGGTCTGAGAGGTTGAGACCCCTGAAAGACTGAAGTACAGGACAGGGTCGTCTGGAATGAATTCACAGGCTCAAGCATTCTTTAAGTCAAGGTGGCAAAGATTTATTGTTACGCTTTTCAGCAGGCAAGGATTCTTAAGGAACCTGCAAGAGACTGAGGATGGAGCTAGGGTTTATATGGGAAAGAGCATGGAAAAGGAATGCCAGGGACACTGGTGAGGTAATCCAAAGGTCCAGTGTCTTTGGGAGCTATGGATGGGAAAGTACAGGGAGTATACCAGGCAGGGAGGGAGATGACAGAGGTATGGATCTTTGGAGTCTGGCAGGAGGAAGAGTCCTTGGGCTGGCCAAGGACAAAATTCCTTGGGCTGGGCCAGGCACCCCTCTCCCTCTGTCTTGATGAGAGAATGCTCTGCACAAGGGAAAGCTTTCTCACAAGACAAGAACTTACAAGGAATTGGGAGGCTTCCAGAGACATAATCTGAGGGCTGGGGCCTGAGCAGCCCCGCACTCTCTCACCCAGCTTTGTTTAGCTGCACTAGGGAAAGAGATAAGGGTCATGCTGGGGCCCACACATGAATAACTGCTAGGCATAGTGTCCTTGGGCTGGGGACTGGTTGTCAGAGACAGTGTTTCTGAGGCTAGGGAGAAATTGGGGTCCAAGTACAAGCACAAGCACCCAAACTCAAGGACCCAAGCACCCCATCACAAGGAGGTGACTTGCCCAAGGTCACAAAGGTACTGAACCTCAGAATCTCTTTTGATAGTTCATATTTATGTAGAACTTTGAGGTTTTACATACATTATCTCATTTGAGCTCATCAATCAACAAATGTTTATTAAGCACTGTCAGACATTGTACTAAGCACTAGGGATGATATTTTTATATCTTTACAAATATCTCATTTTATTCTCACAATTATTAACAAATGCTTTATCTAATCAAATCAAATTATTCAGAGGCGTGAGTTGCCCTGAATGTGGATGTGCCCTGGCCACATGAGTTTCCCAGGCAATAAATAGCGTTGGAGACTTGGAATCAGAAAGACCTGGATTTGATCTCACCTCAGACACTCATGAGCTGTGTGATCCTGGGAGCTAGGTGCTATTACTATTCCCATTTCACAGATGAGGAATCAGGCAGAAGAAGGTCACAACCGAAACCCTAATTTATACTAGCTGCATATAGAGTAGACGAGAGAAAACTAGCAACTAAAAGAACCAAATAGCCTCCAGGATAAAGTGGCCTTTGACCTAAGTTTTGAAGGAATTCTCTATAGCAGAGATGAGGAGGGAGAACATTTCAGGCGTGGGGGGAAGACAGAAAGACAGGCTATAGAGACTCCTGTGCAGAACAAGACAGTAAAAGGAGGGGAATAATATGTACAAGTCTGTAAAGATAAGGAGAGGCCAAACAGAAGTTCATATTTGAAACAATAAAGAACCACTAAAGTTTATTGAGTGAGGAGGGGGAGGGGTGACATGCATAGGCCTGTCCTTTAGGAAAATCACTTTGGCTACTGTTTTTATGTCTGACTCTTTATGACCCCATTTGGGGTTTTCTTGGCAAAGATACTAGAGTGATTTGCCATTTCTTTCTCAAGCTCATTTTACAGATGAGGAAACTGAGGCAAATGGAGTTAAGTGACTTGCCCGGGGTCATACAGCTAGTTAGTGTCAGAGGCCAGATTTGAACTCAGGAAGATGAGTCTTCCTGACTCCAGGCCTAACACTGTCCACTGCACCAGGATGCTGTATGAAGGATAAATTGGAGTCAGGAAAGACTTGAGCCACAGAAAATCATCAAACAAAATTATTTCTGTAGCACCTTGTATGTGCACCCTCCCCCCATCCTACCCTAAATATGAGGCACATTTTGGGTATCAGGTCAGCATCAAAGTCATGACCCATGAGGTACCACTGATGTGTTTGTTTTGCCATCTCAGAGGACACATTAGTTCAAAGCAAAAGGTATCTAATTAAACAACATAGCAAGATGAGTGCCTAAAGATTTTCCCTATACACACAGAAGACTACTCTTTCACAGGTGCCATACCACCAGTGGGAGAAGAGATACATTCAGGGAATAGCCTAACTCAGAGGATATCTATGTAGCATGGCATATGATGTGGGAAATGAGGATAAGAGTAACTATGTAAGCTGAAGGTTTACCAAGTTCTTGACATACATTATTTCATTTGATCCTCACCACAACCCTGTGACACAATTGCTACAGCTATTTATTAGCCTTATTTTACATTTAAGGAAACTGAGACTGAGGGATAAATGGCTTGCCCGGGATCCTACAACTTGTCAGAGACTAAGGTGAAATCAGACCCATGTCTTTCTGACTCCTAGTCCCAAACTCTATACATTGCCTTGGAAATTCATGTGGCCAGGGCTTACATGCAGCCATGTTCAGGGCAACCCATGCTTCTGAACGGCTAGATTAGATTAGATAAAGCATTTCTCTTACTATGTAACAGGTACTGCTCTAAGCACTAGGAATATGTCTTCTGGCGACGTAAGCTGGTTTGGGTTTTGTTTTGTTTTGTTTTGTTTTTCCCTAATGAACTGGGGTCTTCTGTTTGTTCTCTGCCACACTTCACACTACTAGATACATTTGTTGAACTTGATTTCTTCTGGAAATCTCCACTTATTAAGCACCTACTCTGTACCAGGAGTTCATGCTAAAGCACTGAGGATACAAAGAAAGGAAAAAGATGTTCCCTGCTCTCAAAGGGCTCACAATCTAATGGGAGAGACAACAAGCAAACAAAAGTATACGTTATAAACAGAATTAATAGGAAATAATTAATACTGCTATTGACACTCTCTGCTTGGCCTTTTTGCTACCACTGCTAGTCTTTGGAGCTAGTGGCACCTCTGTGTAATGGATAGAGGGGGAGGAGACTTAAGATTCAGGGTAGACCTGACTTCAAAGCCTGCCTCAGATACTAACAGCTTTATAATCCTGCATCAAGCTACTTAAGGTGTCTCACTCCAGTTTTCATGACTGTTTTCCAGTCATCTGTAAGATGGGGATAAAAATAGCACCTACCTCACAGGGTTGTATTGGGTATCAAATTAGTCTGTCTCTAATGGTGTAGAAAGCACCCCATCCTATTTGTCTCTGGTGCCTTTACCTAGTGAGAACACTTTTTGATTTAAGTACACAATCAGAACTGGGTATAAAATGGGCCTCTACACCTATGTGAATCAATCAAGGCCTTATGTGAAAGATTAGACCACCTAAGCGTAGCATGTAGGGGTATCTTTGTGTGGCTCAAAGGGAGGCAGAGTAGACATCTCTAGTCTCCCCTCTTCCCATCCCTCTCCAGTGGAGACTTCCATTCCTGCCAAGAGGGGAAGCAGAAGTCTGGGGCTAGAAGTCCGTCCACTCTGCTCCCCTCAGAGATTTGGGTTAACAAGCTAGAATTATATCTGTCTGCTCCTTTACATAGTGTTAGTCTGGATGTGGTTTTCAGGTTCAATCTAAACTTCTGATCTTTGTTTCTTAATAAGGAAAGGAGGGCCCTAAGCTTTATGCCCAAGGCTTGACCCTCTTCCTGCCAAATGCCAGTTACATAATGAACATGCACAGAAAATAGTAAAGAAACCCATTTATCCAAATATTTTGTAAATAGCAAAACACAAATGAGAGAAAAACACATGAGGATCTATACCCGACAACAGAGAGTAGAGTAGCTCTCCCACAGGGAATCAGATAACTGCTCAACAGAGAGAATCCCAACCTTCACTCAAAGAGGAAATTCCCCAAAGTGGCTAGTAGCATGGGATTTGTCCTTAGTTCTGTAAGAGGACCACAACATCAGGAAGGTGATGTCATGACATGCAAGTGAATTGGATTTAAGTGAGGGAGGACTGGGCAAAGTCACCAGCCTTACTTTCTCCTCCAAAGCCATCTGGATCCAGTGGCAAGATATAGACCAGGACAACTGGAGATGGCCCAGGGCTAGTAGTATAGCAAGCTGAGGCTGCAAGCTCCTCTCATGTCAACTTCTTTTTTTTAACTAGTTAATTTTTTTTTTAATTTTTTTTAAACTGTAAACAAAATTATCATTATTCACTAATGACATGATAGTTTACTTTGAAAATTCTAGTTAATAAACAAAAACATTGCACAAGATTTTGAGTTCCAAATTTTCACCCCATCTCGCCCCTCCCTCCACCCCAAGATGGCATGCATTCTAAATATTCCTTCCACTAGTCTGCCTTCCTTTCTATCTCTCTCCCCCTTCTCTTATCCCCTTCCCCTTCAATTTTCCTGTAGGGCAAGATGGATTTCT